ATCTGTAGGTATTTTCACATCAKCCATAACATGAGTAAAGTTAAACTAGTGGTCAATAATACATCTGTTTAAAGGATGTGAAAATGAGAAAAAGTCTGTTTCCTTCTCTATTCAGTTCATGTCCTGTCTGGGGTTTCCCCATACTTTAAAGCCTTAGTCTTCTTGTTTATTTTACACCTGAGACAGCACCAAAATATCCTTTATAAAGGATATATGTTCAGATTCAAATCTTCATATGGCTCTTTTTTCAGAGGTGCTTTTGCACTTTCTGTACAAAAAATTATTTGTCCTCAAGAGCTATATAAATTATGCATCCCTTTGACAGGTCAGTGCCATGTCCTACACCTGATATGTAAAGCAAGAGCTCTGGAATTAATAAATTCAAAACCACTGTTTGAGGCTATCAGACTAAAATGTGAAATTCCTCCATGCAATTCTTTTGTCTCAAATGTGTTAACTGGTAAATTGCTATCAGTTTTTGATTCAGATCACTTCTGGATGACAGTGGGACTGAGCCCAACTCTATTTTTCAGGACCAAAAGATTCCCTGTTGTGAACTCAATCGATCAGCAGTCCCTAAGTTGTCCAAGGAGTGAGAAAGTTTGAATATTTCAATATGCKTATTTGGGAACTTGTGGCTAAATTTTACTGGGGTATTAAAGCACATAGCTCCTAGTACAAACGTATTTTCACATGTCCAGGCAAAACAACAAATTTATCCACAGAAACTATTCAAAGCTAACTAAAATTAAAAATAAAACATAGGCTTTTAAAAAGATACCTATTACATTAATAGTAAAGCCTTCTATTAATAAAATCGAATCCACAAGAGATTATATTTCTGTACATCTCTGAAAGGTTACACATGTCTGTAGTGTTGACATGCTGTAGTGAATGGCTTGAGACRAGACACTTCATGTAATATATTTCAAATGAATGTCCACACAGAACTACGGAACACAGAAGCTTTCAAAAATATGGTAAAAATTAATTTTCATTTCCTATAGATTTGAAATCTATATAAATGCTTTYCCTTACAATTAAAAACTTCGATAATGCCTGGTCTGTGCCGTGATGACAACTTTAGGCTTCACCTCCTCAGACCTCTGTAGTAACTGTAGAATGACTACACCATGCATTCCCCAAATTCCCATGGGACGTTATTATTCAGGAGTTAGGCTGTTTCAGCATAATGATTTGTTTAGTGGCCACTCAGACATCAMGTTCTGGTTTGCTTATTACTTTTTTAGTCTTAGATTTAAAACGTTAGACTTTGCTAGACATGTTTCAGGTAATCTGTGGAATTCAACAGACACAATTACTTAGATATTATTGTTTTACTTTAATGGGAATGGAGTTGAAGAGCRAGATGTGAGAGCTGGCAATTGCATTTTCAAGATATTTTTATTTTTTATTTCATCTTCTAGGTTGTACATTGTTATTTTTTAAAATATAAAAAAGGAAGAATTCAATAGTGGTGGACAATCTTCAACACAATATTCAGAAGATGATGCTGTTTTCTTCCTCTTCCACATTACAGCATTCTGACAATCTGAAAAGCTAAGATTCTATTTTTAGGTCATAGACATTTTTTCTTTTAGGAATTTCTATTTGATCTCTTTCTGCTGTAAATTTCAAAACTTCTATTCCAGATAAAAAAGGTTATTACTTTAAGAGTACTTTAATAAGAAATTGGAAAATAGCTGTCACTTCAGAACTTATACTATTATTTCCCTGAGGGGATCAAAAAACTCCATACATCTAAAATATCTTATTCAAAACAACACTTCTTCTCCCTCCCCTGAAACTGATACTTATGTCACTAAAATAGCCCAAGCAAATTTCCGTAGGCATACTAGCAAGGTTCAGAGTTAATAAAAATACCTGTACAGCACCATGTTGTGTTATCTGGATATTAAAAGGTGTAATGTGTCCAAGTGATAACATCAAAACTATGGCTTTTTTATGCTACAGAAGCATTTCTGTGATCRGTGCATATTTTCTTGCAAAATTAAGATTTTTTAAATCTAATTGTATTAAAAAATAGCTTCTCACATATGAGTTCCAACAGTAGAAAATTAAACTCCTTTATATTTCACTATTGGGTCATAGAATACTCTCAGGCATCAAAATGTTTTCTGTTGAAGTGAAATTGAGCAGAATAATTATAGTGTACTAAATAATTCAGGGCTCAGTTGTTTGTCTGTAGTATGAGTTTATGCATCCTACATAATGCCAAAAGTAAATTAGATTCCAGCTCATGACATTTAACAAGAAGCTGATGAACAGGTAGTTTCTTGCTGYAGTTCTGGAGTTTTATTTATTTTAAAACAAATATCAGTACATTTAAAATGCTATAACTTTCTAGAGATTTTTTTTAAGTTAACCTTTAGGAATAGTTTTAATTAAGGTTTTTCACGATATAATTGTACCACTTTCAAATGTGTGCTATGTCAGTAATTTTAATCTCATAATAACATACTTKTTTTCCCAGACAACTATTTTTCCCAGCAACTTATTCAATGCACATGACACCTCATGTTCATATGGTACACTCAACGCTTATGCAGATAATCACATCTTCACCACTAATAATAACTAGTTAATTTTTTTTGTAAGCCATTCAAATTATATGCTGTTGAATAAAAAAAAAAAAAAAAAAAAAAAAAAAAAAAAAAAAAAAAAAAAAAAAAAAAAAAACAAAAAACAAAAACCAAAAAAAAAAAAAAAAAAAAAAAAAAAAAAAAACAAATAACAAAAAAAAGAAAAACAAACAAACAAAAAAAACCCCAAACCAATTGCATGTATTTCCATTGGATTAAGAAGTGAAACTGTAGAGAGCAGAAATATTAAAGGTGAATTTAACTAATTCCTAAGTTTAGGTGCTAGTCTAGCTACCTGAACTGTGGCATACAAGGCCACTTGGAACTGACAGCTATGACTCACAAGTTCAGCACCTGCTGCACAAAGCCCCTAAATGTCAGGCAGGCACATATATTGCCAAGGAATCTAGAATAGCACTGGATCCCTAATCACAGGAAACTGATCCAAGGTTAAAGTATAGACAGTGCCTGAGTGTAAGTTCCATTCTTTTGCTGCCATTACAGTTGATCCTTGTCAGGATATTCAAACAATTCACATCATCCCTACTTAGATGGTGGCATTTGATCAGATGAGCAGCTCTAGATTTCCTTAGTAATGCTCAGTCTTCATTGGAGCAACACAGAAACAACTTATATCCAACACTCTAATGTAGACTCTTTTCAGCCTCACAGATATCTAGAATATTAACCCGGCTCAGAAAAATTAATCAAATGTGTCTGATAATTTTTAAGGGTTTGCTTTTTCACCATTTCACTTGGCATAGAATAGAAACTGCAGATCCTCAAGTTTTAATCTATACTTGCTTGTGTAACCATCAAATCAAGGGTCCAAGAGGGCCTTAAGGTGTAAGGCTAGGCATATAGATTGACTAAATGACCCAGCTGGGGGAGGTTTTAACAGATTAATCTAATATCTCACAGGAATTCTGGACCGGGCAGGGTTTGAGTCCAATTTCAGTATGGCTTCACCTGAGTTTGTTGGCTTGTGTTATCCATTTTTATACAGGGCAGAAAATTACTGGAAATTAACTCATACATTGAAGAATTGTCCTGCCTCCCCTGAGGAGGACATRAGAAGTACATTATTGTTGATGATTACAAGAAACCTGGATACTGAGCAGGAAGGATTTATATAATTTCTGTGCATAATTAACAGGAACAGTGACAATACAGAGATGGCAAAACTACAATTTTCATTTGAAACTATGTATTTCAGAATACGAGGGTCTATATGTTAAGGTCATGCTCATCATTTCAGTTCTTGATAATTAGCAACACTGATCACATCTAAACTATAATATTCTTCCTCTCTGTTCTTGTGACATGTCTTTGGTGACAAACTAGTCATTAGTCACTTTTATAAATGCAATGTTGCCTGGCTGATTTTTAGCTCACAGGACACTATATTTAAAATACATCTCTCTCATCCACAGATCATTCTGTATTCATCTTACTTCTGTGCTTACTTCTGTATCAATTACTTACTGCTTTTCTTTTCACTCTCATCTAWACACTCAGAGCTTTTTGTTAACCTGATGTGCCTTGTCTTCTGCTTTCTGCCTTCTCCAAAGCAATCTTTGCACATAACAGTATCCTTCCACCTCTATCTTTCCTCAAATCAACACGTAAATATACATCTTTCTCAGCAGTCACKTCCTTTCCCTTTGCTCATTATTCATGCATTTATGTAGCAGTTAATAATAGCCAAACTCTAGTCAACCAAACAGCTACAGTGAGTTTTTGTATGTTAAGCACAGTTTAAAGCAGCATTTAATCTATCTACTATTTACTTAAAAAAAAAAAAAAAAAGTTTAAACACCAGCCAATTGAGTTATCCCTACCTAAGAAAAGTCAGCTAGAACTTTCTCCTCATAGAATGTCTTCCTGGAAGAAGTGATTCTTATCAGATTTTTCATCTGTAAATGTACACCTAGCTAGAACAGAACATCCACTGCACTTTCCAGGTAAGGAACGCTGCAGTATCAATAAAAAACTGTCAGCCTATTGACAATATAGCCTTTAAAGAGCCATGAAATGTACTCATAATTTAGTGTTGCTTGAGTTTATTTTTAATGGATGTCTAGTGGGAATTCATATAACAGACCTTTGCCTGCACATTCTTAATCTAGTCAGGCCTCGATCTTGGAGGTAAAACAGRAAAAAGCAGTGCTAGAGCAACTTGGGAACACACTCGTGGCTTCAAGTGTCTGCTTTCCTGCAGCCTTAGGGGCCGGGCGGGGCCGAGYCCCGGACAGCAGCGTGTCCCCGAGTGTCCGGGGCGGGACCGGCTGCAGGAGCCACCTGCCCCCGGCACCTCCCCCGCCCGCCCGGACCGCGCCCGGAGCTCGCCCGGAGCTCGCCGAGCCGCCGCCCCAGCCCGGGGCGAGGCTTCCTGCGCTCGGCCCCCGCCGCCTTCCCGGGAGCCAACCCCGGGCTGCGGCCGCGGGGCGGGGGTGAGCCGGGATCGCGCCTTATGCAACCGGCTCAGGGAGCGGCCGCCGCCGCCTCGCCGGCAGCAGCAGCAGCAGGAGCAGGAGCAGCCCGGCGCTGTCCGTGAGTCCCGGGCCGAGGGGAAGAARGGCAGCGCAGGCGCTCCGGTCCCGCTCCGCCGGGCCGTCCCGCAGGTGCGGCGGGGCTGAGGGGCTCCGGCCGGGCCGGGCCGGGGGTGAGGCGGGGCTCCCTGACTCCCTCGCTCCGGAGCGCGGCTGTCTTGCGGAGGAGGAGGAGGAGGAGAGGGCGGGAGCTCCTCAGCCCGTGCCGGCCTTCCCCTCAGCACCCCGCCCGGCCGTGTGCCCGGCAGCCCGGCTGCGGGGAGATGCGTGCCTGGGACGACCTCTACCCGTTCCCATTGCCGCCCTCATGGGTGCCGGGGGCTGCCGTCGGGATTCTTTCCTTGCACTTCTTCCAGAAACTCCTCTTCCCCTACTTCTGGGCCGACCTGAGATACCTGTTCAAAGTGTTCACCTATGGGCTGAGAGTGGAGATGTACCGGCTGCAGGGGCGGGTTGTCACCGTCCTGGACAGGTTTGTGAAGCTGGCGGAGAAGCAGCCCCACAAACCATTCCTCATCTACGAAGGGACCGTTCACACCTACCGGGATGTAGACCGGAGGAGTAACAGGATAGCGCAGGTCTTCCTGAAGCACGAGGCTCTGAAGAAGGGAGACACGGTAGCTTTGCTGATGGGGAATGAGCCGGACTTCATCCACGTGTGGTTCGGACTGGCCAAGCTGGGCTGTGTGGTGGCGTTCCTCAACTTCAATGTCCGCCTCAGATCTCTCCTGCACTGTGTCAGTAGCTGTGAGCCCAAGATACTGGTTGTGGGAGCAGGTAGGGTATACTCCTCATTCCTACATCCAAAGCTTTTAATGTCACATCTCCCACATGTCTGGCCCTTCAGATCCTTTATTGGAAACCTGATTTACAGATGTTCACAGAAWGAAGGAAACATAGGGCTGGAGGAGGCTTCAATATGTTATAAAGCTTCAGCCTCTCAGGTAGAATCAATTATATCCATGCTTTGTGAACATCCATTTAATATTTTTTTTTAAAAATGTGCCTTGCAGAAGAGTCTTCAATGTCTAAGTACAGCCTGTTCCAAGTGCTGAATTGCTGCATTAGTAGTTTAAAGTGTTTCTGAAAATGACCTATTAAGAATAATTTTCCATTACTTCTCTAACAGTCAAATTTAATTTTATTTAACTCTTGTACTTTATTCTCTCATACAATCTCCYCATCTTTCTACTGATCAAACACATTGGAAAACTGAAGGTCTAAACTCAGATTGTACAGCATCTGCTGCTCAAGTGTTTGCAGAGACATGAGAGTTTTCCAGAAATAAAGTTTCAGGTGTAGAGCACATAGGAAGTTGATTCATAATAACCACGTTGGTGTTGGATTGTAGAAGAAATTGCTGTTTTTAAGTAGTGTTTGTGTGGTGTATGTTTCCACAATACTTCATTTTTGTTAAATGCTTCAAAATAATTTAAAATCTTGTTTTWGGCATCCTGGGCATTGTATGTTCAGATTGGGCTTCAGTTAGATGTATAAACTGAAGACACATCCAGAATATAAAGTTGCCATAGCATTTATGGTCAAGTGCAATTGAATCTGCAATGCTCAAAGATCACAGTACCTTGACACTTGATTGGAGGAAAATATATCAAAATACTGTATATTAATGTTGTCCCCACCCTCTAAAATTATTTTTTCAAATCTACTTTGCCTTTTTTTCTGTCACACATCTTCTTTCTTTACCTCTGTTACRCAAGCTGTCGGGTTTTGCACCCCTAACAACCCCATGGCACCTAAATGATAGATTTTTCCTCCATCTGTTCTCTGATGCTAAAAATTTGTATTTTCAAAAATATGTTTAAGATTTTTCCCTTGCATATTTTTAAATTATAAATCTTGTAGTTTTGGTTCTATGTGATATGCTGGTTTAAGATCCTTAGTAATTAAGACAATAACACAAAAGCCAATTTAAATATCCAAGTACATGATGTTTTTAAGGCTTCTGAACTGACAGTTTTCCATTTTGCCTTCTTACTTAACTTGTAAAAAAAAATCTTTTTAGCCTCTTCTTATGAATATATAAATGTATATGAATATACACTTTGAGTGTATGTTGAGGAAGGGAATGAATGTTCAGGAACTTCCTGCTCATTGACTGTGGCAAGGGAGAAACTTTGGATCAAAACTTGTGTCTAAGAGTAGTTTTTATTTAAATAAGAGATTAACTAATGAATGAAAAAGCACTTGCAGAGYGGGGCCAGGAACTGTTTCTCCTCTCATCTACCAGCAGCTGACAGTAAGAGCAACTGTGTTGAGCTAAGTTGTTCTGGGACTCTGTCTCTGCTTTCAGGAGAAGAGCTGTGTGCAGACAGATGGTGCAACAGATATATCAACAAATTTGTCTCACTTGCTATTTTACGTTTTTGGCTTCTTATTTCATTAGTGGCTTTTAGCCTCTGGTGTAAATCTGTCAGTCCCATAAGCCTCTTCATTATTTTTCTTCRGGACTTAGAGGTTCTTTTCTTATTTGTATCTGTGAAAGAAGRTAAAGTTGCTTGGTTGTCAGCTGTTGACCACATCATATGGGAGCCTCTCCAAAGGAGTCCACATTTAGCCACTGAAGGTTTATATACAGTCCAGTGTTACTGTGAGGAGTAACTCATACCACTCTTGAAAGAAACATATTGTACCTAATTATTATAGATAGCAATTTTCTGTTAATATTTATAAAAGTTGCAGAGCAATGTTTAACACTGGGGTTACAGTCAGTTACATAGTACTCAGAGGTCTACTAAACATTTTCTCCTCTRGTGTTAGTGCGAATTTCAAGGGATTCTTCCTTATCAATAGGGTTGAGTTGTGCCTTTTGCTCTTATGGCACCATTTTCACTGGAGTATGGATAGCCTGAACATACTATAGCTTTTTCTTCAAAATATTTTGAACTAAAACAAATCAAGTTGTGGTCTAATATCAATGATTGCCATTGAAGGCATTGTGTTTGGCAACTAAGGTTGCGTTTTTTTTAATCAGGGAATAGTATGTAATGGCAGTGTTTCTGGATAGTGAAATTCTTTTTAAAAATGTGTAGGTTTTTCACCCTCCACACAAAAATACAAGTTGATTTAGCAACTCTATTTCTTGCAGTAGTTACAAACTGTATCTTCAGTGTTTTGGGTGGCCTTCRATCCTATGCATAGATCAAAGATATATAGATACGCAGATCTTATTCACAGCAGAAATTAGCCCCTAATAATTTGACTGCCTGTGCTTTGCAAGACCAATTCTTGAAATTCTCGTCTGTAGTAGCAGATTAGAACAGGGATCTGAATAGAGGGTCTGCTGTTAATATCTTACTCTATATCTAGTTGATATTAAGGTTTCACTGGTGTGGAAGGGAACTTTCCATCTTCAGCTGCTCTCTGAAAAAACTTCCACAGATAATTATTCATGGCTAAATCTTCCCCATTCAGAATGGTGCTGTAGTCTCCCTTTGTGTGAGTTGATTGCATCTTGAAGCTTTTTTTTGTACCTCATTTTCAAAAATGATTTTATTTTTTACAAATATGGTACCTCCATAYAAATAGGCTGGATACCATTTATGGTTGCATTTTCTTCCATATCTTGTTCCATTTTTCTTACTGCCTCTTAAAAATCTTTTTCACATGCTATATTTTACTCTTCATTTTTGCTGTATGYCTGCATATTTTTCAGATATTGTGGTTTGGTAACCCCATTCAATTACTATCATCTTGTCTTTGCTTCAGCTCTTGGAATCAGACTTGCTTCTGGTCCAACAGTTCTCTGGTACTTGGATYGCTTTTTCTAACTTTAGATGAGATTGTTCCAGTAGTATTTTAGTTTTTTGGGTTTGATTTTGACTTAATGTAGTCTGTGAACTCAGCAATTGAATGTTTTATTTTGAAGCCTCAGATATGCTATAAAAACTTAAAGATTTATTCCTYTTGTTGGTTTCTTATATGAAATGGCTGTCTCTAAAAGGCTGCTTTTTTTCCTCTATGACACCAATGTGCTTTTAATTAATTTAGTGCAGTCAGGTAATTTTTTTTTTTTTGTCTTTTCATCCAGGTTCTGGCTAAAAGGCAAATACAGATTCTATGATAGGCCAGTATTTAGTCTTCCTGTTCCTTTTCAGTTATTTCATTTGCCTTTGTATTAGAGAGTTTTTTGCTATAATGACTCTCACTTGTGTGCTATGTTCCCAGAGTRTTTAGTCCTTGCTTTAATCTGTTACTTAACCTTCTCACGCTTCCATTCCCAGAAACACTGTCTCCCACAACTCCCACTTTGGGGAATGTTTCTTGAAAGAGATTCAAAAGCTGGTGTTTAAAACTGCAATTTTAAATAAAATAATAGTTAACTAACTTGGAAGTAAATGAGGAACTTGTAAAAGAGAAATATGTATGCTCTTCTCTTTCAAAAGGTGTTTGTCTTTACTGTATTTGTTACTGGACTTTGCCACCTTTAGTTCTTTGAAAGCTGCTGGTTAAACAGAGGAGGTAAGACATGGCTTAAAATGATGACATTTCTTTACRGCACCATGTCCTTTCTGGGGAATATTTCCCAGAATATTTCCCATATTGAAGAAGGGATTACATTGTATCTTTTGTGTCATTATATCCATTGCAGTGTAACAGTGTAATATTAAACAACATTTACAGCCTAGTGACCAGCAAGAAATACACAAATGAAATTATTTTCCAGGGCATTTCTAGTGTGTTCCTACTGGGAAGAGCTCAGCTCAGAGCTGGATATCCCAGACTTCCGTCATGAATTCTGATGCAAGGATTCAGCTGTTAAAGGATTGCTTTCTAAACTCYGTGAGGTTGATTTGCACCGGTGCTGATAACAAAGGCTCTTAAGGGAGTGTGCATGCCGGGTGAACMCGTGTGGGCAGCTGCTCTGTGAGGCTCTGCCTGAGCAAAGAGATCAGACTGAGATGACCTCCAGAGGCCCCTTCCATCCTGTGATTCTGCAGTTCTGTACAGGGGAACATCTCCCAGCTGTATAGCATTTTTCTGGCCAGGATTCTTTACTCTTGAGGCACTAGCAATGCCTTCTGTTGCTGCTGAGTGTATTCTGAAGTATTCAGAACCATATCTGCATTCTGGAGAAAAAGAGTAAGCAAATTATTTTTTAGTATTTGTACRTTAAGGTCATATGATGTTACAAGTAGAAGTATCATCTTTCATGTTAGTCACTGAATAAAAAAAGAAATGGATTCTATCAAAACTACCTTTTCTTATGTGTTTGGAATAAARATATATTTAGACCTAAACATTTAGCAAAGGGATCTATAGAAGACCTGTGGAAGGCACCCTGCTCCATTAGACATCCCATCTCTTTCATCACTGGTTCTTACATAGTCTGTGTCTTGTCTCAGRTGGTCTTTGAGTGGAAAAAAGAGCCAACTATGATTTGTGTTGGTGTTTTATGTTTTATTACCTTTACCTCCTTCAGTGGTGCTTCAAGACACCAACAATGATCCTGAGCCACAGCTGACTTTTCTGCTATTATTACTTTGCGAGAAGCTGTGCTAAGTCACTTGGGGGTTCAAGTACAAGGAACAATTATTTTCTGAGGCCACACAGTATGGGGAAGAGATTGGACTTGATATAACTTCCTGACCGTATCAGCCAGGGTACACATCAAAGTTGTGTAAGAASCGTTTCATAGGGTTTTCTCTCTGAGTGACTTTCTGTTCTGTACAAGCTGATCTCATAATCTAATGTATTCCTTTCATCAGTGTGAGACTGTGTCCTTGCCAACAGCCTGCATGATTTCTTTGCTAGAAAATAACATAAAAAACCTTTGTGCAACTGTAAGCCTAGGACAGTAGCTCGAAACAGATTTTCCTTGCTTTCTCAGAAGATGTAACAGAGTTAAGCATTCATGTGAGTATAAAGTAACAGTTTAATAAACTTTCATTAAATAACGCTTTAAAAGTAAGAGGAGAAGAAAAAACAAGTGGAAAACATAGCCATCCCAATCAATTCCAGATATGTATTCCCAGTAGGCCAAATAATTAGCAAGTGGTGAACATTTGTATACAAATTTTGTAAACAACACAGATGGAACTTGCCAAATTTTATATGAGCAGACATTTCTTCCAAAACGAGTAATCCAAAACCTGAATATACTTTCATAGTGTAAAAAGTAAACAAGTACTYGAGAGAAACTCCAAGTTTAAATAGCCAAGGTGCTTTACTGCTTTTGCTTTTCTGTATGATAAGGTGCACATACAAGGTACCTCTRGAAATAATCAAATTGTAGCTCTTGCAAGAGGGCTGTGTCTACCTGACAGGTGGAAAAGATGATGTGTAAAGGCCAGAGAGCCCTACACAATGCCTAGCGTGTTTTTTTTTTGTGGAACAAAATGTTAGTTGACTATCATTAGAGCTATTATTTGGAAATATGCTAGYACAACTGAGAGTCACTTTCAAACACCCCGTCTCCTGTGTGTTCCAAAGTAACTTTCAGTTTCTGGCACTTTGAATGCAGCTGTTTTGAATCACCTTTTTTTATTCAGGAAATAATTTATTGTTTCTGCTGTTCTCTGCTATCTCCTGAGAAGTTTCTTTCATGATAGCGTTTAATTAYAAGCTGCTCACGCACTGTTCCAAGTACTAGATTCCTGAACACMGAAGAAAAATTATGCTCTGTAATCATCTAGTAGTTCAATAGTAGTAAAAAACTACAGAGCTGTTGTTTTTAAGAGTGAATGTTTAGAGAAACAATAGACAGTGTGTGTGTTTAATTTGAAGATTAATCTTAACTATTTTGGGTTAATATATTTCAGCCTACTAAAAAGGAGCTGTGTCCTCGTYATTCTTAATTCTTAAATAATTGTAGGGTTGAAATTAATAGTTGCCATCTTTCTTCCTTTGATGCAAGAAAAGGGGGGAAAAGAAAAAGAAGAGACAAGTCCTCTTCTTTCTGACAGACTTGCATTGTAGATGGAGCCATTGCATTAACAAAGAATGACAGAAAATGCTRTATTCTCTAACTATTTTTGAGACCAGAAATAGAACTCCAACTACTTCTAACACCTCTGATACTTTTGCAAGGTTCTCAGTCTAACTTGCACCKACACAAGCTATCCTTAGTATATATGAGACATATATGCATAATAGAAATTTAAAAATCAGTATAAGAAGGTACTATCTATGTAGTTATTCCATCACACTTGGTTTACTGATAGATGTGAGAAATAGTAGAGTTGTATCTTCCTATTTATTGCTSAAAAACCCCCCATAATTCTATTATTTAACAGCAAGACAGAATTAATATGCCAATCAACCTTGACATTCACTGTTCTTAACATTATTTTTTTGTTCACATTTTTTCAGTCTATTGGTATCTATAATGGACTATGTTCCAATGATTCAAACTGGAGGCTATGTATCTTTCAGATTTTTAAAATTGTTTGAGTGATTTCTTCCTGAAGTCATTCTGCAGTACAAGGAGGTTAGAACACAATAATTTTAATGTTAAACTACATCAGATCTATTTGCTAAATGTTCATAAAATAATGTAAAACTTGTACTTGATAGGCTTCAGGCTTGTAAAACATGTTTAGCTGATGATAGTATGCTATATATCTGTAACAGCAATACAGATGAGTATGTTTTTAATTAAAATATCTACATCAGTCTGTCATTAGGAAAGTAGTTTTCTGAAAGATTAAAAATCTTCCGTTGTTTTGGTATAAAATTGATACATTCCATTAATGGTATCCATATTTAATATTCGTGAAATGAGTTTGGAGTTGACTTCAGGATTTCAAATGCTGGCTCTGGCAGTGCCTCATTGCCAGGTTCTGGGTGAGTCATGTCAGCTTTGTTTGTTTATTCATCTATAAAAACCAATAATAAAATAGGAATRTTTGCAAGATTAATTGCTTAGACTGAGATATATTGAAGCACTTAAGTGTAAATGAGTTCTATTCAAAGCAATATTGCTCCTGTTCCCAGATTATTACTTTAATGACTGTGCAATCTTCTGAGAAAGTGCTTCAAAACACAAATACAAAATGGATTATTTAAGGATTGCCCTCTACATATATCTTCTCTTTTTATTAAGCTGGGAAGCTCTATCATTGTTTCTTTCCTGATAAGTCAACAAAATAAGYTTCACTTACATTGCTCTTTGTTTTTAAATTAGTCATTTCTGTGCTTTYGAAAAAGAGAAAAAAAACAACTTCTCAATGGGACGTTGCTGTTGAGGGCATCCAAGGAAACTTGTACTGTAATTACCATTTATGCATATATTTGACTTGTATCTTCAGTGAATTTCTTCAAGATTTATTAGAAGTTGAAATTTAACCATACTTCATTCTGGTCTTAGCAATGACTRAGTGTTAGCTAAAATCATGTGGGAAAGAAGAACTAGTAATCAAGGCTCACAAGTCTGCTTTGAGAGCTAGTTGATGKCTAGACTATGTGGGATCAGCAGTATTTTTAACACAGAATATCCTGATTTCAGTGAATTTTCATTCTAGTTCTTCGTTATTTTATTGAATCTATTTATATCCATGGAGGTGACTTACGTTTCTATATGATAAAGAGTAAAACTTTAAGAAGAAATATACTTTTTTCTCTAGTTTTGTGAATAATGTAAGTAACATTATTTCATGTTAATTTTTAAGATTTGCTTGGGACACTGGAAGAAATTCTTCCTAAACTTCAAAAAGATGTTAGTGTTTGGATAATGGCCAARGACTCCACATTCCCAAGTGTGCATACCCTTTTAGACAAAATAGAAGCTGCRTCTGAAGACCCTGTTCCAGTTAATCAGTGCTCTGCCGACAACCTCAAGACACCTGTTTTATACATATTTACTTCAGGAACAACAGGTACTGGTCTGCTAGAGAGTCTGAATTTTCCTTCAGCTTTCATTTAGAAACCTGATTTTTCTGAAACTCTAATATCTTAATAGCAAAATGCTGTGTTTCTCATCTGGAAGCATTATTAAAGAAGACACTAATTTCTTGTAACTRTTTCYATTCAGTGGTTTATAGGTGTCTCTTACTTTTTCCTGCCACATTATATAAATACTATGAGAGGCTTTTGTCTCTTACTACTTCACAGCCAAGGTGYTTCAAAAAAATTGCCTTTTTGGTCRGTTTAAAACCATAGTAGATAGTATTTTGTGATCATGTAACACTGCCTAGTTAAAAGACGATCTAGAAACAAGCAAATAGACATTTGTTTTTCTTTCATTAAGTCATGTTTTATGCAGGTCACTGTAGAGACAGAAAATAGGATTAAGTTACTAGCCTTTTAGTTTAGAAACACATGTCTGAATTGTGCTCCAGCAGCTAAGGAGCTAAGACTTAAAAAAACCTGATCACTGACATGAAAGGCAGCATTATGTTTTTAAGATGATCAGATTGGCATTCTCATTCAGTTGAATGCAACAGTTTTAGTCACATGAAGACTGAAAATGCGTATGTGGTTTGAGGCTTGGTTCCTTCTTACAAATAATAGTTCAATTATTTGCTTCAGGTTCTCAGGAAAAAATAGGAAATAAGGATGATGTTATTCATCATCATTACAATGATGCATAATATCAGCCTACAATAAAAACATTAGAAACATTTTTGTAATACTACTAGCATAAATATGAGTAAGCTTGCTGGTTAAGAGTAGGGAATTAAAATTAGCTAAAAAATATTACAGAATTATCCAGGTGGGATAATTATGTTTCTACAACTGCAGTCAGAATATCTGTGTGAAGTCTCAACTTTCAGTTATATAGAATTAAAAATATTTTTGAAACTTTGTATGTTATACATTAATTAACATTGGATTTCTATTTATGTAACTAATACCATAAGGTTTGTTTAGTCTGAAGAGTATGGAATATCTAATTGTGAGTAATTGAGCATTTTCACACATTTTGATAAACCAATGACTGATAAACTTAGTTCAAAGAAAGGAGTATTTTGCACAATCTGTAGTGGTCACTTTGTAAAGGCAGAATTAAAAACCCAAGACTGTAGTAAACTTCTTGTTATAAGCAGTTTATTGGCAATGTAGACTACACATCTTCAGTGTGATGGGCTTTGGAGAGGCCTTGGGGTGTAGCTGGACTCTCCACAGATTAYACCTCCAGCTCTAGCTAAGCCTTCAAATGAATAAAAGCTTTGCTAGAATAGGTGAGAAAGTGTTAAGAACAATTACATTTTTAAAAAAATTGAACAGCTTTCACTGTTCATCAACAACCAGACTCAGAACTGGAATTTGTGTGTGTTTGAGAACATGTATCATACAAGACCACATCCCTAAGCAAATTAATGGCTATCAGAGTAGTACCCCAAGAAGCCCATGCTTGCATGTCTGCCTCTTGCTGAGCAGAAATGCTGTGCTGGATCTGAAGAAACTCTTTCCAAAGAAGCTAAGTGTGTGGTCTTTTCACTGTTGGTATTTTTTAAAAAAATTCTTTATAAAATTATAAAATAAATAGAAAGATATTGATTTATGATTCCTAGATAAGCACCCACTGTGTGATCTACTCCRTGTAGATCCCATACCTTTATTATTTACTTTACAGTCACAAAGACTCTTGCCTGAACAAGATCTGATATGAAGCCTCTTTATGTTAAAAGAAATCCATAAGCGGAGTGAATGTTTTTGTCCCTTCTTGCTCTATGTAATTTGATAGCAGGCAAACCACTGAGAGTCTCCATGTTTCCACTTATTTGACTGGACATGGCATCTGACTAAATAGCAAAAAGCTGGGTGATCTTTATGTGTACGGAAAAAACATGCAATATTTTGTTAAACAGCCAGTTGGCCACCTAAAAAGATGGTTGATAATTTGGTTACAGAAGAAAGAATTGATTCTTTAATGATTTTAGACACTTTATGCAGGAAAAAAAAAAGGTTGAGTTCTTTTTAAGAGAAGCTTTACACATTATTTTGTGTTTKCTTGCAGGTCTTCCAAAGGCAGCAGTCATTAGTCATTTTCAGATTCTTAAAGGAGCTGCTGGACTGTGGGCTTTTGGGGCTACTTCACAAGATATAATTTATATTACTCTGCCTCTTTATCACAGTGCAGCTTCTCTTCTTGGCATTGGTGGATGCATTGAACTGGGTAAGAATTGTTTGATTTTTTTAATAGATAATTAATTATTGTAAAAATACATAAAACACAGGTTCACTACTCTTTAGGAGATTAATGCTTTGCTCAAATTAAATGAATAGTGTTTTTCATAATAGCTGAATATTTAGGGGAGAGGGAGACTTTAGTAATAACAAAGGATCTGTACAAACTCTCTCTGTGGAGAAGAATTAATTACCATAATTTGCATCACAAATATTTTTACTTTATAATATTTAGGTAAAACGGAAGTTAAGGAYACATGCAATACTTTGGCAGTGTGCATGGTGCATTAGTATATGTTTAGACTTGGCATTGTACACTAGAATAGAACAGAAATGTGTTTTGGTGAATTTAAAATATTGACAAAAAACTTTATAGTAAACATTCCATATGTTTTYTAATGATATATAATTTTTTTCCATTTGTGTTCTGTTTTGACACTGACAATAAAACRCATGTATTACTGGGACAGTGTATGTGTCCACAATGACTCTCTTATAAAAGATTTATTTGGAACTCCATGGCAAATATTTTCTGTTTCCTTATGCATGTTCCTTTATGCATCAAGTACACATCAGAGCAAGGAAAAGATCATTGTGTTATGGATAAATTCTATCTAAATTTGCATTGATCAAAACTTTCTAGTGAAATCAGGCTTCACTGATAGCCAAATGATTTGCTAATCAGCCAGAATTTTCTTGATGTTTTCAGTTAAATGCTTGAACAAAAGAGCTCAGGCAAAACTCTTAAATAATGTTACAACAYGAACAATGAGAAGTTGTCTTCTTGGTTTTAACCTCTAACCTATTACTTTTCTGTGTCAAGCAGAAGGTTGGTTTCATTTCCCTTCTTTGTCTACCARCTTTGAACACACATTTACAAATAACACAGCTTAAATACTGCATAGTTCTGTGAGTGAGGCTCTCTTAGTTCCTCAGATGTTCTGTTTTTTAGCTAAGTTGCCACACAGAGAAATTACTTAATTTCCTTTTCTACTGCTTCCATAAAGGTGCAACCTGTGTGTTAAAAAAGAAGTTCTCAGCTAGTCAGTTTTGGAGTGACTGCAAAAAGTACAATGTGACTGTCATCCAGTACATTGGAGAACTTTGCCGTTACCTTTGCAATCAGCCAGTGGTAAGTGGAATTGAAGTGATGCCTATTTGTCTTCAGTACACTTATTGTTCCTAATGTGGGTGTATTAAAAGGAAAATTAAACTGTTTTGGATGTGTTCTTTTGCCCTTCTTTTTATGTAAGGCTCTGCAAATATTTGGTGATTTGTAGACGGTTAATAAAAATAATGATTTGAATCAYGAACATGTACTAAAAGTGTTATAAGGAACGATTTTGAGACTAAAAATTGATTCAGTATAATTTGATGAAAAAATATTATTTTACAGAATTTACAAGGTAAGAACCAGGATTWCTGTTCAATGCCTTTTCTGAATTTTCCAGGCTTTGTTTTCTCGTCACTTGACTGTGTCAGAGGTCATGTTTTGCCTGCCATGTTTTAGCACTGTTTTGTTTTGTGGAATGTACATATTCTGAGACCATTTGAATAATGTTTTAAAATTTGGAAGGGGCTTAGTCTAGGTTAGCTTTYAGTTCAATGTGAAACATTTGGTTTTTGTGGCAACAATATAACTATTAAAGACAACAAACTTAGTTTTATTAGCGTGACCTTAGTGGTGTGATGGTTTGGTGACATGGTGTTGAGTATGAAGTATGGTGAACCTGGATATTATCAAGTATAGCTGACTCAGGTCAACTGAATTTACTCCTGATCTGGCTGTTTTCTCATAACTTCTGTGTTCCCTGATTGATGACAGGGAGAACACAAGGTGTTTAGGCTACACTGAATACCTAAAATTTGTTGGAATTAACCCAAGATGTATAGAATAGTATAGATGGAATTAATATAACCTGTTGGATAGCAAACCCAACTGACTTTGTATCCTCAGCTGCTTGTGCTAAATGTGTCAAAGTGAATATTTAAAAAAACATTMATCGTCCATAAACTGAAATTCTTCTTGGTAATGCTGGCAACGTCTATCCATTTAGGAGCTGCAGGTTGTCCTGTTGTGTTTCAATAATAAATCCTAAATGTTACCTCATACATGATCTTACCTGGTTAAAAATTTTAATAAATGACTTTGCACAGCTATAATCAGAAACAGCTTTTATTTTGTATATTAAATAAAAATAAAAAAAATAACAACCTCGAAGTGTCTGTATAACATTAGGCAAAAGAATTATATCCTCTTTTAATTTAAAATATTTAGGAGAACAGAAAGTAATTTGTGAAAATGTACAGAAGTTGGATGCAATGCAAGTCTAATCTCTTTGAAAAGCCTCTCTTTGCTACTATCATAATTTGATTTTATTACTGCATAAAAATAATCAGTGGTTTATTTATTTTTCAGTGAATTTTATTAAAATAACTCATCTCTTAAGAAAAGGTGCCAGTAACCTGAACTATTTAATCTGAAAATCATTAACATCCTCTTCAAGCAGTATTCTAAATTAAGAGAATGCAAACCAGTCTGTTTCCAGAATAATAATTTGCATTAATATCTCGAGTTGCTGACCAAAGAATGGAAAAGGTCATTGGCTTGCTTTTCCCTCAGGAAAATTTTCAAAAGTATGTTTAAGCAATATAGTTGTGGATCATAGATCCTACTGCACTATCCATGCATGCCTCAGGAAAGTGGAAGTTCTTGAATTAAAGGGAGCGTGAGGGTCCAATGAGCACCAGAAGATGAGAAACCAGAACAGTGATACCTTCCCTACTGATTTTTTTCTGGTTATGTTTTGGGGTTTTATTTGTTGGCTTTTAATTTTTATTTGTTCAGAGCGTTTTAACTTTATAGCAAAATAAACAACTACCGGATAACAAAAAATTAAGTTATAGATCATAAGAAAAATCAATATATAGGGGAGATGTAGTTTTTATAAATTGTGATTTTTCTTCATTGTAGGCTAACTTTATTTCTGCAAAATAATTTCCCTTCTCTTCAAAACTTCACAGCTTTTGTCATGTTTGTAGTCTGAGATATTAATTGTTCCTGTTTTCTGTTCTCTTACTGTACAGGGAGAGCAAGTTTTATTTTTCCCATCCCTTTTTATCTTAAAGTAAGAATTATAGGTTAATATACTTAATTTCTGAAACACTCAATTTTTAAATCCTCACCAAGCCATCATGAAGACAAAGCAATTTTAAATTGTGCAAGTAAAGTAATTTATACCATCATTATAACTATTCTGTTTGTTAATTTATGTCCATACTTTCTAGCAGCTGGCATGTCTAAACTCTTCCTTCTGTAAGCCTACAGGGGTGTTTTTGCTTGCTTGCTACGCCTTCTTAAGAAAAATTATAAAACAAATCAGTTTGACAGCTAGGTACTTGAAGAAAAAATATTAAGTATCTGTCATGTTAAAACTGGAAGAGAAACATGTTCACACAAATAAGTGGAAGGCTTTAAAATACATTCTGGGATTCACTCTAGTTTTCAAGTAAGTAATTTCCTAAGTTGGATTCTCTATTTAAATTTCATTAATGTAGAAGTACTGTATGTGCTAGGAGCATGAGAAAGATATGACAAGCTTTAAAGTTCTGTGAAGATATTATGTGGGCAGTGTTCTCGAGATTAGAGTGMTACAAAGCCCTTCTAATCAACAGAGAACAAAACCATAGTAATTACCTGATTTTCTTAATTTCTTTCTTTAACGCTAAACTTTCAATAGTGTATTTCTTACAGTTGGAGTCCACACTGTGGCCTGTTGTTTCATAGATTTTGAATTGAACTTTGGGCAAGTCTCTGTGGTAGCATATAGACTCTTGGCTGAGCTTTTATTTTGGTTCTTTCTTGTTTGATCGTTCTGCCTCCCACTCACATCTGCAACAGCTCTTGAAGACTCATGCAGTAGAATTTTTCTGGGGTTATTCTGCATCCAGTTTGGTTCAGTAATCTGTTGTCTGGGAAAAAAAAACCCATCTGTTAGAAGAGGAAGTTGTCTTTTTTCCTTAGGTACAAGTACAAAGACATGGCATTATATCATGTTCATAGATTTTGCTGGACTTGTAAGTGAGTAGTCCTCATGCCTACCCTCTTCCAAATACTTTTTCTGCAGTGTTTTGATTTCAGTGAAAATACAATTGCTAGCATTGATGACTAATAGCCATGAGTAGCTACAAAGTGGATCCTGCTACTCCAGTGAAAAAGAATATTAAAAAAATTAATAACTTGGTCTTGCTGACGGATATTGCTCAAAGTCTCTATTAACAGTTATCTGCAAAACTACAAAAGTATGGCTTAGCAGAGCTCCCTATATCCTCTCTTAGCAAGAGCCTTGGAAATTTGCTACTAATCTGCAGATATATTTTCCTTAGAGGCTTGTAACTAATTTAAATTTTAACATCTAAACTGTAAACAAAATCTTCTGAAGGCAGTGCAGATATATTTCAAATCTGATGTAATGATCTATTTAAATAATTCATCRCATCCTGAAGATTTTGGAAAGACAGGAATGGTAATGCAGCTTCTCTTTCCTGTTTTTCTCTAAAGAAGACTTGTATCCTMAAGTATGTTTCAAACAAAGGGTAGAAATCAGTTTTTCAATCATTGTATCGTAAGTTGTGATACAGTATGACACTATTTGTATGATTTATGATACATGAAAYAGGTAAACTCTCTATTAAAACCTCTACTTGTATTCAAAATCTGTTTCAGAAATAATTATATCATTGCTCAGAATTTCCCATTTAATATGTGTTCTGTTCTRTGTCCACTTGGTATTGAGACAGCGTTATCCTTTGGCATCAGTGACATTTCTAATTTCCTTAGGGTTACCTAAGTGTATAAGACCCATGTATATCAGCTTTCAGACTTTGTTCTGTTAAGCTGGGSCAAGACAGTCTCTCTACCAGATACAGTTTTGGCCAAGGGTTCTTTGGATGGGATTAAGCTCTCTAAAGTGACTTCAGAAAAGATGCTTAGGGATTTATTTAGTTAAAACTCTTCTGCGATGAAACAATAGTGGTTCAGAATAAGAAGACATACTGCAAGAGAAAACAGAACTTTTAGACTGAAAGCATATTCAGTACATCTGAAATGGAAGCTTAGGAAGGGTCATGAGATTTGGAAGCTTGTATTTTTCCCTCTGGATTGTACCAATTGATCTTAAAAAMAACAGACTGTATGTCACAGCAAACTTTGTGCTTTCAGCTGCCTACAATAGCTACAACATTATGATTTTAAAAAACTGTCTTTAAAAACATATTATAAACCCATGTATTTTTYTCTACTGCCTTCTGATACTCAAATGTATTGGCATACCTCTCTTGGAKTCCATCCATGGATGATCCTGTGTCTGTTTTGTGCTTCTTCCTGCTAGTAATTGCAAAGATTTTCAGATGTGCTTCATGGAAAAGGTCTTCTGTAATACCTAAGGAAGCATTAGATTTTTATATCCAAGACACACTGAAGGCCACTTGCAATGTCAACTACTGGTTCTAGCATTGTGGATTGAGACTTTTCGCAGTCTTTAAGAGGTCATAAAACTTGACCAATTTCCCTCCTTCCAGCTTTCAGTTTTTCCTAGATTTGTCCTTTGGGTTAAACTAGTCGAGTCATTCAGAAAATGTCCTTATATTAAAGCCTGGAAACCACAATCATGCTTTCACAAAGGGAAACTTCATATTGCTCCTAGAATACTGTGTGCAATATGCACTGCAAGAAATAATCTGTGTGTGATTCAATTCTCTGAATTGACCTTTGAAAAGTTTTGTGTAATTTGTTTTGACTAGTATACTCCTGGGGCAATCACCAAAAATACAGCGATCTGCTTCACATTACGGGGTGGAACACAAACAAAAGTGACTTTTTTTGTTGGTAGATATCTTCTGAGGAAATGGAAGTATGGCTAAACAAAACATTTCCTATTAGAAGAYGTAAATGATGAAAGCTTCTTGTAGAATATAATCCTAATAGATTATATATTATATATACAATATTATATAATTTGGCATTAAAAACGGGGTGAGAGTGAGAGTAATAGCAAGCAACCAGTCTCTGAGCTAGAAAGATGTGTCCTTTTCTTACTGTTCCTATCCTTTCTTATGATGTGTCTSTTCACACCCTTCCTGTTTCCTTCTGTATTTTTAAATTTGGTTATGTGTTTTTGCTCAGAAAATCTGATTGCAGTTTATAATTTGGCATTATTAAATAATGAACGTGGATGTTCTTTGAAATACATCTTGAAAAATGTATCACACCTGTAACAGTAGGATATCTCCCATCTTACAGTCGACTAAGCTCCCTGATGCCCCTTTTTCAATGCWAATGTGTCAGAGAGGAAGTGGTGAGTGTGTGTTCCATACATACCCTGTAAATGAGTGCAAATCCTGTGTCATTTCTCCTATCATATTTTATATTTCACTCATGTTTGCATTCTCAGTCCTTGAGATTGCTTTYAATTTCATCAAGGCCATGATACAGAGAATGCTTCATACCTTCTTTTCTTGAATTACCTTTGCATCTCTCCATTTGGCTTTTCCTTATGCAGAAATAGTGAAAGTAGGGCAATGTTTTCTTGTATTTTTTTAAAGTAGCTGCTAAGCATATTTTTTTCATGTAGCTGCAATCGTGAATCCTTCCTGCACCAGTTAGTATACCGTTGGTAACACTCTAAAMGGCATTTACCAACAGCTTAATCACATAGATAGTACAAGTGGTTTATTAAGAACACTTGAGGAGAAAAGACTGCCAGATGAAAAATCTCAGGTATGTGGTATTTAATGTAATAAGGCAGATCTTGACTTGTTAGTTAATTAATATACAAAAGAAACAAGCACGCAAGATGGAGACATAGTGCGTCAAACTGATTTATTATGTGTGCAGATGTTTGGTACATAGTTCAAAGATCTTGGCAGGATGAATGGAAAAAAAATCCAGGTGTAAGGTAAGAACAGTTCTTACTTATTAATGCATTGATTTAAATGAAAAAGGCATTGAAAAAGTGCTTCACCTTTACTGTTAGAAATAAGTGGATGCAGACTGACCCTCCATTTTATTTCAGAATCACTCTGAATTCAGAAAATAAAATCATAGCATTAAAATAAATAAACATTTTTGGAAAGATACTAATTTATTCTAAAATTTCTTGCCCTAGCTGTCTGTGGATATTTAGAAACACGAATATAAATGAATTATCACAGGACATGTGATTTGAACTTATTTGAACTAATACRTGGTAGCTGACCAGGGCTAAGCACTTTGCCTTTGTAAATGAGATATTGGGAAGAAATACAGCTTCTAGCGTAGAAAGTGTTCATTTGGTACTGTTTTTACAGTGAGCTGAGAATATGCATCCATACAATTGTTGCTGCATACCAACTGTTGCAAAGCAACTGGCTGACATGCCACAGCTTGATCAGGTGTCAAGAACAACACAGGGATAGCAGAGCTTTTCTGCTAGAGGAGAAATGTACTGACTCCCTGGAATTCCTTCTACTTCTGTAATTCTATTTATTGTAACAAAGGGAAGCTAGTTGAGGAAATGCTGTCTGAATATGGCTGAAATTCAAAGCATGACTGTTTGGTCTAGTCAGTTTAAAGCACAAGTTCCTCCATATTTATTATATTTATTTTTTCATTAGGACAATGTAAGCTTTCATCACTCAACCATGTTTTTGTAATTTGTTAGAATGATCATCTCTTTTCATTCCCTTCTCTTACTTGCAGCATTTTATTTCCTTCGTAACCATTCAGCCACAGTGCCCATGGATACCAGCATGGCTGTCCTAAGTGTTGGACTTTGGCAGTGATCCAGACAATGGTATATGTGACGATGTTTGATATTAAAAAGAGATGACAGATGTTAGAATGGCTAACTCCGTTTTATTTATTGTGGCTCACTTTATGTTGAAAGTTAGTTACACATAAAGCTTACATGAACTAATGTCACATATTAGTTATAAAAAAGGTAAAAATAGATACAATATAGCTGTATAAATGTACTCATTTGTAAAACTAATGTGAGTTAATTACTCTTCAGGGAATCTTGTATTGACAGGCAGGTACAACTATGTTGGCACTGACTAAATCACAAATACAGAAGTTGCAGCAATGCAGCCTGACAGTAAATCTACTGTAAGGAGATGCTGACCTGTTGGGTCTACTCTGCATCTTCTCTACTAGAGCAACAGCTTGGTGCTGTATTAACTTAAACTAGCCAAAGTAATGTGAGGAATTGAAATTGCTGCATTTATAAATGATGTGGTATTTGTTCTTTCGAGAAAAAAAAACCCAAACCCATAACCTATATAGGCCACTGTCTGCTAGTTCATTCATTGTGTCTTTTCAGCAAACAGCTATTAAGGCTTTTATTTTTCTTAAAGTATAAATAGTAGAAGCAAAGTCACCTTTTTATTAGCTTGGTCTCYAGTGGTTGTGAATGTTCCTAGCCTGATGAAAGACTAATTACTCTCTCTCTCTCTCTTTCTCTCTCTCTCTCTCTCTATATATATATATATGCACATGTTTGTCTCTTCTGTTCATTGTGGAACAAAGACTTTCAAGGAAATCATCTCTTGAGCTCTTTTTTGTATTTTAGAAAAGGAGCACATTTGAATAATTCAGTGGCATCAGCAAGAGATAACATGTCCATAGCCGAACTGCAGTTATTTTCAGTGTAGCATTGAAATTGCAAAGCAAATAACCCACTTYGAAAAGTTTTAAGTTGAGGAGACACGAATATTCTAAAAATGGTGGACAATTTTCTGGGGAGGAAAAAAAAAAGTGTTAAAAGCTTTCCTGATTAAGTTCAAAATAACACTGAAACATTGCTAGTTTTGAAGAAGGAAGAAAAAGACTGATGTAGTTGGTCTTTATGATTTAGAGGAGCTTAAAATTTCATTGTGTTTGCAATTTTTTGTTACAGTAGGAAGATTTCACATCCTTATGAAAAACGTAATTTGTCCAAGACATAAGCCCCTGAAGCACGCTGCTGGCTATGTACTCAGTAGAGGCTTTACTGTTTTTAACATCCCAATTWTTTAAAAGATTCCTAAGTCGATCAGCTGACCAGATCTCTTCACAACAATAATTTGATGTGATTCTGTRTGAAATTAAAGGTGTTAAAATGGATTTTTACTATACAGCCATAATTAATGGATAGTGGTGGGCATGGGGGGTGAGGGTGGGAGCATAATAGTAGAAAACAGGGGCTGTCTATTTTTTATATTGTATGTATGTGCATGTGTATATATACTTGTATAAATACACATATGTATATATGTATATATATGTATATATATGTGTATATATGTATATATATGTATATATATGTATACCTACACACATATATATGTATGTATATCAAAAAATGTGAATATGTGCGGATGTGTGCATTTGCATATAGAGAGGTGTTTGCATATATGAGTGTGGGTCGATAGAGGTATAGAGAGAGCACATTGCAGTGGCAGAGTGGTGTGCAGTTCTGAAGGAATGTGGTAACAAACTGTACCAAACAGTCCAAACAGTTTAGATGTTTTRCTTTCTGGTGCTTCAACTTAAATATGATTGTACTTTAAAGGTGGTTCATGCCATCTCAATGTTTTAATGTATTAAAACATAAATGTTTTAATGAAATTAGAATGTATTAATGAAATTAATGTATTAATGAAATTAGAACACCTTACTGAACTGGATACRTACTGTTGTGTTTGTTGTGGTAAACATGGGAGCTGACAACAGTAGACTTAAGATCACTAGGAAATAATGCATTCCAGTAATGCTGAACAAAACCTTGCAAGTCTTAATATTGAAAAAAATACAGATGACTCATATGCAATATGTGGGAAGGAACATATTTTAAAAGTGTGTGAAATCTGATTGCTTCCTCATAATCAGCCTGAAGACAGAAGAAAGTAACTATTCATCTCTTCTGACTTTAATCCCATGACAGAAATAATTCCTGCCTTTTTCTGTTCTTCTCAGTTTTYTAGTTCCTCTAGGGAGAAACATACTGAGACAATAAAACTTTTAAAATGTGGAAGTGTTTATATAAATAATTGTAGTCTTTATTCAGGAAATAATTTGTTTGTTCAGCAAGATAATAGGTTTTAGATTGCAGCTTACTATTTTGCAGCTGTCCACCAACTATGCCAGCTTTCTTTAATTTCTGGATTTTTTTTTCCTTCTTTTTGTTTTTATACTGGATGTATTTTGAAGTAGGTAATTTTTCTCCATTATATATGAAACAACSAAATGCAATTATCCGTATATTATATTTAAATTTTTTTCTTTTTTTTTTTTTAACAGAAGGAAGGAGAAAAGAATCACAAAGTCCGACTAGCAGTTGGAAATGGAGTAAGAAATGATGTATGGAGGGAATTCGTAGACAGATTTGGTGCTATTAAGATCTGTGAGTTCTATGGTGCTACTGAAGGAAACATTTGTTTCATGAACCACACAGGAAAAATTGGATCTGTTGGACGCACCAATTTCTTTTATAAGGTGACTATTCACATTTTACTTCGTCAATGGTAGTGCTGAAAGATTGTGTTTCTTATTTTGACTCTGGGACATGGGATGACCGTCATAAGTCCAAGTTACATTTTCTAATTYGGTTATTACAAGTTAGTTGACCCTCCATAAAATCTTGGCACCTAACCCTGTTATACTTTCATCAGTAACATGGAGATTTTTCTTAGCATTCACAGAGTCAGAAAGGTCTTGGCTCTCTTCTGACAGTTTTGAGTAATCTGACAGTTGCCAAGTATAGTTTCAGATCTCTACTACATTAGAAGACAAAATAAAAAGTTGGATCTATTTTAATACCTAAGAACTCATCATCTCTAAAATAAGCATACAGATGTCCTATTCTAATTTAGTCTTCTACAAGTTATAGTTAGAGATATGTTTATGTAGTATATTTATATTGCATATTACTATGTAAATATTTGGCATMAATGGGAATAATAATATAATAATTAACTCTACTACTATGTATATACAGTAGTATATAGACAGATTTAAATTTAATAGATATTTTATATCTAGGTACAATTAGACATAATTAACATCTAGTCTGTGTCATTATTCAGAAATGTCAAAGATAACASAGTACTATATAGTCACTGTTGAGTAATTGTGACAGAGAACACCTTACAAGATTATTAATTTTAAAATCCTGTGTCCTTTATCTRCCATCTGCTATATGTATTTGTTGTGTTCTCGGTTCTAAAACTAGAAAAAAAAACCCTTCTSTATTTCATCAGCTTTGAAAATGGCAGTCATATGTATTGGGGAGGAGGATTACATATTACTTATATCACACGTTATGACTTTTCAGCCATCCTTCTAAATAAATGAAGAATTTATTTCTGCTTGAAATTGACAGAYAGACTTTTTCATTTTGATCCTATTAGTGGAATCTTTTAAATTATTTGAAATTCTGTGGGTTATGTATGTCACAAGATTTACSTAATAATATGAAAGACGTCTAGTCAGCCTTTTTGCATGGAGACTACAAATTTATCATTATGTTGCTGTGTATGYCAGTTTTCTTGAAATGAATAGTACTTCATGCATTGCCTAGAATTTTTAATTGGCTGATACATACTTATTTATCCATACAAGTTCTGTTGACTTATACAACATTTGTGCTCCTGAGGAGAACTGATATCAAAATGTCCTGACAAAATTTTTTTTAGAGAATTATATAAACTCAYTGTTTGGAAATACAACAGAGGTATCTTCTAATGAAGTGTAAACAGGTTTCTAGGGAGCATATATTCCAGGGTCCACAACTTCAATACTCMATCACCACATTACAATCACCACTGACTGCTTTACATGTTGGGGACAGAGGAATTCTTCACTTCTGGTACAGGAACTAAGACCAGAGGGAGGAATGTGGAACCACTCAGAAAAGCACCACAAGAGTTAGTGTGTTCTCAGAAACCACTGAGAGCTCAGGAATTTAAGCAGATGACTCCAATGATTCTCTGTCCTATGTGTCTGATACACTGTAGCAGGCACAGTGGCCATCCAAGGCTGATAGGTATCTGCAGAAGTGTCCAGAACTCCTACAGAAAATCAGAAATCTGGAATTTAGGGAGTAGTAGGTGAGCCAGGAACCTTAAAGCTGAAGTTAATTTTTGTTTCAGACTTTTCTAAGCCAGATGCCTTATAATCTTACCAGATTTTACATGTGTTCCAAACCTGAGTAAACTTGTTTTCAGTATGGCAGAAGTGTGACAGAATTTTATCATATATCATTAACCCTTTGAAATTACCATGCAAAGTCTACAACATATAAAGATTAAACTTGAAATTGCCTGTATATTTATTTAATTATCCGTGTTTTTATTCTAGTAGTATAAGGATTTTGCATTGACATGAAATAGATATTTTAATGCCATAGATAAGTTCATTTTTATTTATTTCAGGCATTTGCTGTGGAGTTGCAGATTACTAAACAGTGCATTATGAGGTATAGCTGTGTTTTACTTCAGTTGAAATGACATCCTCTAGACTATTTACATGTAAAGGAGAGCAGCATTATTTCTGGTATGCTGACGTATGAATGATCTGAAGTTGAAAAGAAATTCTGTCTCCTGCTGTAAAGTAGGCAATGGCACAGAGAAGGCCCAGCCACCCAATTCCTAGCATTTGTTGTTTTTTCAATGAAATGCTACACCTTTTGAAAAATTCTCTTGACGCACATGACAACATGAGATACCCTTTAGCACACTTTCTAGGGATTTTCCAAACACCCATTTCTTAAACTGGGAATAGAAAGAAAGAGAACTCAGAAAGTGGGGAAAAGAAGCTTGTATGTTCATATATGTGATACACTGAAGAAGAAACTTGCTGTCTTCCTGCATCATAATTGCACAATTGGCAACAAAGTAAAGGCAGCACAAAACCCTATATTGAAAGCATAGAGGGAGTAATAGCGGAAAGGTTCAAAGTATAACATTTTTAGCAGGGAAAAAGGAAAAGAAATAGAAGTGCATTCCTGTTGTAGGTAATGAAAATGGCACAGTTTGTAAGGGTAAAATACAGATTTACAAATTAAGAGGCAAACTGAGCTCTCATAATGAGTAAAGTAGCTTCTCTGCCAGTAACTGCTAAGGGTTGGGGACAAATGCTTGTGATAAACATTAAACATGGAACACAGGAACATTTATTTTCATAAAAATATTGGAAGGCAGAAGGTAATAGGAAGAAACAGATAATATTACAGCACTTACGAGAARTCACTGTATTTATGATATTAACTAAAAGCAGTGCTCTTGTTTGCACTTGTTTCTTTTCACATGGTGTTCTTTATGTAAGAGAGATTGGTTCATGTGCTTGAAAGCCTCCCTGTGGAATATGAATAAATCTTTCAATAAAGATGTTTATACAGAGTCAATGATAAGAAAAGTAGACACCTCTGAACAACTTCTCAGCTGGTAAAATTTAAGATGTTTTACAAAAAAAAAAATTGTGTTAACACCRTAATATAATAAATTACTGTTTAATCTGTTCATCTGATATACACATACATCTAGCTATTGTTAATAATCAATTCTGTTTTATATCACATGCATTATGTATGCATTTATATAAATCTGATATGGAAAAAATCTGGAAGACTGTCAGCTATGTCTACCAAATATATATATATGTCTCTTTCTTATACTGAAATACATTCTGAGTGATGGCAGACAACAAGGGAGTTTGGGATTAGTGAGATCCAAGGAAGCTTATTAGAAAGACTAAAAATAACCCATGGCACATTCACCTGAAAAGCGTTATGTAAAGAAAAATCCAAACTTTATTTGTAAATGTAATCTTTCATTGTTTTAAGCATAGTTGGAATATCTATCACAGGAATCTAAATCTCTTACTTAAAACTGCATAGATGAACATCAGCTTTGAGTTGAGAAATATTTAAAATTTATAAAAATCTTAAAATAATTTTGACAAATAAAATGTCTTTCACAAAGCCATGCAGAATTTGTATTCTGCACTTTATTCATGCAGTCAGAATTTGTGCTAGAAGAGAAATCTTTCAGTTTAAAAGTAAAAATGTTAGTTTTAAGATTCTGGAAAACTGGATTCACAGGAAGAATACTRATGTGTAAATCCAAGCAATGGAAGCTGCTAAGTTCATTGGGCAATGAAAATTAATGTTGTTTCTTCTCCTTTGACGAATTTTGAGTTAAAATAATCTAAGATACTACAAGGGTATTGCAAGGTATTGTACTATAATATGTGGTGATTCAGTTGACATCAAACAAAGCTTAAGGGATTTTTTTTTTTCTTGATTGTGTTTACTTTGGCTAAGAAAGCTGTGTGGAGGCCATGCATCTGGTCTTTACTGCATAAATAAGGCATTATAAAAAACATTTGTAAGATACAATGATACTATGCTCCATTTTTTTTTTCTTACATTTAAGTTTTTAAAGATTCTTGAAATTAAATCTAGTACATGTAAGGCTTTATTTTATAAACAGATATTCTCCCAGAGAATTCAACAATACCTCATCTCTAAAACAAGTAATAAAAAGCTCATGATCTCTGTTTTCTGGTAAAGGTTCTCTATGCATTCACTGTAAGTTGAAACTTTAGGAATGTCAAAACTSTTTTCAAAATAATATTTAAATTCACATACTTCAAATCAATTGAAAAAATAAGGCGGGGGAAGCTGTTACTAGATAACATCTAGGCAGCCTAGTAATAAACAACGATGTTGCATATTAACTCATTTTAAGTTTCAGCTAGCTAAATGATGCTTTTTGTTTGCTACATTTATGTCATGCTTCAGGGAGTAAAATGCAGATTAAAATGATGAATGTTTCATGCAGTCCTCTGAAAATAATATGGTAATGCTTTGACAGCTCAGGTCCTTTTCCCATTGAAATATAAATAATGAGGCGAACCAAATGTTAGTCTGTGCCCAGACTAAATACTTTGATGGGGAGCTTTCATTTTCTAGCATTTAATATGAAAAGCAAGCTGCTTAGAAACATAGAATGATTTAGCTTGGAAAAGACTTGCACAGACACAGCTGTTGTCACAGACTCTGTATGTTTCATTATGCATATCTAATACAAGATGTGGTATTTTCTTTCAAATATGTATTTGCTTGACTATTATTTCAAAAACCTAACTGGAATACACCTCATTAATATTCTGAAGTTACAGGCAAAAAAAGGTGTTCATGACATACATTTATATATAGTAATAGTCTCAACAGTTTTTTACATTATCTCAGACATTAAATTACAGAGTGTTTATATCAACTTAAAATAATTTGTCATTCTTTCAGAGCTCAGTAGTTATTATTTTGTCAAAATACTACTCTGTATGATGCACTATTTTAAACTATTCTAATCAGACACAAGAACACAACATTTCATTTTATACCATTTAATTCTTATTATTTATATTATTAATTGGATTTGGTTATATGAAACCGATTAAAGTAATAAATATTAATGTAAAAAAAGAGAAAGTGATATTAGCATTTAAATGTAGACAGAAAAAAAAAAAAAAAAACGATTAAAGTAATAAATATTAATGTAAAAAAAGAGAAAACGATATTAGCAAAAAAAAAAAAAAAAAAAAAAAAAAAAAAAAAAAAAAAAAAAAAACCCAAAAAAAACCCAAAAAAACCCCCAAAAAAAACCAGACAAAAATCCTCTCCCATTTTGTTCTTCAAGAACAAACAATTATTTTCAAATTAAGGCAAACTTTTTGGCTCTCAAATTCTTGCCTTCAGTAAGTGGTTTAGTCTGAGGTTAATTAAAATAATTACCCTTCATTAAATAAGTGTCCTATTCCTGAACCATGATTTTGCAGGCTATGACCTTTCTCCTTTGATCAACTGTTAAAAATAGCTGTTGGTTTCAGACTTAGGGCAGAAGGAAAACACAGTGCTGAACATTGCAAGGACCCAGTGAAACAGTTTTCTCCATATGAGACTGAAACTGTGGGATTCAAGTTGCTCTTTATTCAAACTCCTTTGGAAAAAAAACCTGATATAGTTACAATGGGATTTCAAACTAGGATAAAGTATTACGCAACTCTTCATCCAAAATRATGGGAGAAAATGGAAAAGGTTTCTGTTTTAACATCTTACTTTTTATTTCTGTCACTCACACAAAATCCTCCTTAACTTGTATTGCACTTTTTTATTGTAAACAGTGCAGCTGTATATTCATGTCTTATAAAATCATTTCCCCCCATCTRCCAAGATTTCTTTGAGAAGATAATTACATATCCATGGTTTCACTAGTTGTTAAAGATTGTTGACCCATTTCTRTATGAGAAGGCAAAATGGAATCCCAAGCTGGGCAAATTATCTCTTTAGAACCATAATTGTAAACACAGTGTTTCAAACAATATCAGGCATATGGTATCTTTCAGTGTCTCTTTAAGGTCCAGTTTGGATTTATATCACAGAACAATGAAGCGAAATGAGAGTCAAATGTTGTATATTTGAGGGCAGAAGGAAAAAAAAAAGTATTGCAATTTCTAGTTTTGACAAGAGTATCTTGTCGTCTCCTTCAGTTTGCTTGGAGGCGTGGGAGTAGTACCCTTCTGCTGGTGCTCACTTCCCACCGCCATCCAGCAGCCTGAGAAAAAGGGAAGAAGTGAGGCTAGTTAAGCAAGAGTAAAGCCCAACAGGAAGCAGAATTTCCTTTGTGAGGCCCTTCCTTTGCCAGCTATTTTCAGTGCCAGAAGACCTCAAGAACACTTCATATCAACCACCAATAAATGTCACTTAAATACTAGATAYGCTTCTATTACGCTGAGTCACATAGTTCTTCACTGCTAATGTGAAGATCCTATAACTTATCTATAAGAAAATTAACAGAAAGACAGTTCTTTGTATTCATTTACAAGAATGTTTTCATATTWCTGACTTCCAGGAAATGGCACAATTTTACATGCAGCGTATTTTCTATTTTAAATTCCATTCTCCTTTCAGATGTTAAGACTGGAGTASAGGTTTCCTTACTTATATTTGCTGCCACCAGGTGTCACTATGYAGATGAATAACTGATGACTTCTTCCCTTTTTTAGCTATTTTTCCCATTTGATTTAATCAAGTATGATTTCCAAAAAGATGAACCAATTAGAAATAAGCATGGTTGGTGTGAAAAAGTTAAGAAAGGTAAGTATGTATTTTAATAGGATATTATGGCCTATTGATTTTAATCCAAATACATCAGAGAATTGTTTAAGGAGCTTTGATATAGTGTTACTGCAATTTACTGATTCAACTACTACTCTTTGCTCTGAAAAAAGAGCAATATAATTTTCGATGTAAGATAAAACAGCATTAAATATATCATTGCTGATATCAGAAGCACTCAGGAGATCCTTGGATATAYGCACAGAAGAGTTCAAAATGTTCAAAAGTGATGCTATGATATTATCTTTAAATATATACATRGTGACATCTGTGTTTTTTAAAGGAGGTTAACATAAGGAAATGGTTGCCTAAGAGATCTACAGGATGGACTGGTGGATTAGAGCAAATGCTTTTTGATGAGAGATTAAGTGTTTCTGACTAAGTGATGTGATTCAGCTTAATAATTAAAAAAAAAACAAAACAAAACAACAAAACAAAACCAAAATTGTTTGATTATAGCTGTCTTCAAAATACTTACAAAAATCATGATTACACAATTTTTCAAAGTATTTATCAGATACTGGAGCCTRTATTGACCAGTGGGAAGGTAACAGYTGAARCTGAAGCAAGAAAAACTCATATTAAAGGTCAGGCAGTCAGCTTTAATAGGGAGCTGGAGCAGATTTTTTCAAAGGAGTTATGAGATTCTCYTAACAGCTGGTAAACAGAGGTGGGCACATTGAAGAAGATATGTCCCCAAAAGCTGAAATGTTATAGGAATCTATTTCTAGGGATGCCAGACTGACCTGTGAAGGGAACACATGCTCTAATTAGACATCTGGTCTAATTTTTTTCCAACTACACCACTCAGTCTAATAAAAAGTATTATGTCTGCCTATTGTTTTTGTCTTACTCATGTCTTATTTTTCAGAGCATGAGGGCTGTATTGATACTACCAGTGAACTAAGTACTTCCACTTTAAACACTACCAATTTATGGGAAAAAAAAGCACAGCTCTTTTTTAAGGAGGCAGTCTTAAATTAAAAATTATGCCTACTTTTGGAAGCATTTTGATACATTTTCTTACTTATAATTCTTGTCTCTGATACAAAGTAATGTAACTCTTAAGCTTTATTGTTCAGAACATGCTCCCAAAACCAGTTATTTCATACAATTGTGCCATGTTTAGCAAACTTAACACCTTGACACTACACACATAACAGGATAATGCTTTCCCCTAYGCTCCCTACTTTTGGAGGAAAAAAAGTTGTATTAAAACTTTTACATTTTACTCCAGAAAGTAAAATGATGATCCTATATCAGTTCCATGAGTATTCTTAAGAAGTCACAGAATCACAGAATATTCTGAGTTGGAAGGGATGCATAAAGATCAAGTCGAACTATTTAAGTGAATGACACCCACAGGGATTAAACCCACAAGTTCAGTGTTCTAACACCAGGTTCCAACTGAGCAAATTTCAGTGTTGTCAGAACTTTTGAAAAGAGACTAAATAGRGAAATAATGCATGGGCGAGCACCCACTTTTGATTAACACTAGTTTTTCAGTAGGAAGCTGATGAAGCTGAGACTCATCATTGGAAATTCAGTTACATGTGGGAAGTGGGACATAATATTAGCTTGAATTGTGCACTTTCAGAGGATAATAAACTACTAGTGAGCTTACAATTGATAGATGACCATTCGGGGAGAAATCTGGTGAGTCATCAGGAAGAAATACARGTGACTGTGAATTTGAATGGACAATATTGTAAGTAATATTAATGTCAGGTATACAGAAATGTCCAGTGATATTTTAGGTTTATATTCTTTCAACTTTTCTATATAGGTGAGGCTGGTCTTCTCATTTCCAAAGTCAATGCGAAGAACCCCTTCTTTGGTTACGCTGGCAATAAAAGACACACAGAAAAGAAATTACTCTGTGAAGTATTTAAGAAGGGAGATCTTTATTTTAATACTGGAGATATAATGGTTCAAGACCGTGAAAATTTTATGTATTTTTGGGACAGGATTGGAGATACCTTCAGGTACATATTTTCATATGTCTTCATTAAAGATACACAGACTAGAATAATATGGTTATTTTTGGTTTTGACTGGAACTGTTCAATTTATTGCTATTGTGATGTAGTTTATAATGATTCTGAAACAAGTGATGGGGGCTTAATTTTGTCATAAGTGTTCCTTGATTAATTATCCTGTGGAGCTGARTGACTCATTTTCAGAATGGTTTGTAGAATTCCAGCTCTTTGAACACTCAATAAACATGGTGGGTTTGCTGTAAGCAGAGAAGTYGGATACCAGTGTGGAGAAATATGTATCAGAATAGTAAAAATTGGTCACATTTGATACATTTAGATCCATTCTTAAAAAAAAATGGAAGCAATTGTATTGATCATCAATATCCCTTAGAGTGTTCTAATACCCAGTAATGTTTGGATTACAACATTATCTTCTGGTGATCAAATTCCAGTGTGACAAGTGTGAACAAATTTGAGTTGGTGTTAGTCTGAAATGAATGGCGTTCCTACTAAAGTAATTTTTTTTTTATTAAGAGAAAGTGTCATTGGATGAAATTATTATTTTACACATTTTAGATGGAAAGGGGAGAATGTTGCCACCACAGAAGTTTCTGATGTCATTGTCATGTTAGACTTCATACAAGAAGCAAATATCTATGGTGTATCTGTGCCAGGTAAAATCTTGACTTATTTGTTTTTCTTCTCCCAGGTTAGTTGTTAACCCTCACAACGCTTTTTATTTCATGTTTTAAACTTATGAATCATGTTTRATTGAGTCATCTGTTTTATACCTAGCTAAAATGTAGATGCAGATAATGAAAATACCACCTGATTGTGAATGAGCCAGTAAATCATGCATTTTTGATCTACRTGCAATGAGGAGTATTTTTGAAAATTTATTGTGCATTAATTTATGATAGCTACATAACCTAAATTATAGAGAGTTATTAAATTCTCATCTGTGGAAAATCCAGACACATGTCAAAATAGAATGTCAACGAGGTAATGAAGACATTTTTCTGTCTTATTTCACTTTCCATTTAGCCTCATAAAATAACTATAAACAGTTACTTTACAAAACCAAGGAGAAAGTGAAAAAAATACAAAGAGAAAAATAAATTTCTAAGGAAGAAAATACATTTATTTCTTTTAATAGTTWTTGTTATTTTTCATGAGATCATATGGGCTTGATTCTCATTCATGCTAAATCTTCTTAAAAGATATATGCTATGGGATAAAAATAAAAAAATTTTCTGTATAGGAGACTGTTCGATGCTCTGCTTTAATTGTTGGCTAAAACAGTGTTGATAACAGTGCTTGGCTAACACTGACCAGAGCTTGCACAGAATGAAAGCTTTCTTTGTGCATGAGAGTGCTGGGGACAGCAATAACTTCGGAGCAGATGTAGATGGAAGAGACATCCAAAACTGTTCAAAGGGATATTCCAGATCATGTGATGCCATCTTAGTTATTAAGGCGTGAGGAAAGGAAGTGGACAAGATATTTGTGGTGGTGGTGTTTGTCTTCCCAAAAAAACACTGCGTACTCTGAGTGAGGCCCTGCCCTGCAGAAAGGAGCTGGACATGTACTATTYGATGGGAAATATTGAATGATGTCTTGGGTTTGCTTTGCTTGTACATGTATTTTGCTTTCCCTATGAAACTGCCATTACTTTGAGTCTTTCCTTCTCTTCCCTTTCCATCCTGTGGAAAAAAGGATTGACAATGAAGCTGGCTGGATGTTTGGTTGTTGGCAAGGATAAACCCAGCACAAAATGATAAAGGAATTGAAAATGTGAAAAAGTGAACCCTTACCTATATTTTAAAGCCATTCAAGCCATACTTAAAGCCATAAAAAGAAGACTGAAATTCATTTCCTATACAACAATTACCTTTACCTACTCAGTTTATGTAACTGTCTTAATAATTGCATGTAAAGATAAGCATATCAAGTTCCTTACTGATTTTGTAGCATTAGCAAAACATCAAACCAAAGGCTGGTAGAACATCTCTGCTGTTACTACTAGCTGACGGTTAAAGTGTGCAGTTACTTTTGATAGCTGAAAGTCATTGCTTTCMCATTTTACCCATTTTGTTCTTTCTCAAAGACCCACAGTGCTCTCTTTTTCCAGGCAAAACAGTAAGAACTTTTAATCTGTCTCTCAGTTAATTCTGATCCACAGTTTTGAGAAAAGATACTGGCAAAAGAAGGAGACTAAAACTGAAATGAAGACATAATTGGCTAATCCAGGAAAGAGGCTCATCACTCTCATCAACCATCTCTTGGTTTTGAGAGAGGAATGTTGTTGATGTTTGTCCACATTTATTGATTATATCGAGCATGGGACTCCATTTACTCTTACCCACCACACTCATTTACAGCATTATTGCTTAATTGGTCACTTGAGTGATCTCCAAGTACTTGTAATACCATATAAAATATGAATGAGATCTTGCAGCTTTACTGAAACTCAGAATATGATATATGAGTGTTGGTTTGTTAATGCATTACAGTACTTTTTTGTAAGGTTTATCATTACAATGTCAACTTTATTCATGTTACAATTCCCATCTCACTTCCTTTTGCACAGGTCATGAAGGAAAAGCAGGAATGGCTTCTCTTATTTTAAAGAACAATGCATCATTAGACTTGGAGCAAATGTATAAGCAAGTAGTGACCTATCTACCAAATTATGCTTGTCCCCTTTTCTTAAGAGTCCAGGTAAGCTGCATTAGTGCACTGTGCATACAAACATCTACCTTATTTAAACACAGAGATGGCTAAGTGAATAACAAAAATTGCTTCTTYATATATCACTAGATTAGTTTTAGACCTGGTCCTATTTGCTCTAATCGTTAATGGAATCCTGGAAAAGGGATTACACAAAAAGTTAATAAATTTGCAGATTAAGTTTAAATGAGAGAAACGGTACAAATGAACAAGGCCAGAGATCATAGAAAAGGATTTGGGGAGATTAAAGCATGAGTGTGGTGAAAGAAAAGGATTCAGCTTTTAAAATGTGAACAATTGCGTCTGGAGAAAACAATGTAAAATCCATTTTATTCATGAAAATGAGAGAGAAATAAAGCTAAAGCAGGAGACACTGATTCCTGCACAATAAAATCTATGTTCTTTGCTGTGTAGTGATGACGAATGTCAAAGCATTTGAAAAGTTCCTAGGTAAACTGAAAAGATGAATTAAAAATGTAAGTTATTGATGTCACTACAGTATTTATCAAAATCATCCTTATTTGTGCACTGCTTTGCTCTCGTAACTGTCCAATTTGGAGGAAAAAACAGTCCCTCACCCAAAGAGTTACAAAGGTAAATAAAATACAGTGGACTACACAGGGCTAGGGAAAAATGTGAGAGTATCAAAAGTATACAATATTGATAATCAAGATAAATGGAGTCTGATCAGYATTTCATTTCTGATAAGTGTTTTGCAAACATCAAGGTAAAGACATTAAAGAAAACTTTTTTCGAAGATGTTTTTGAAGGAGTCCTCTAAGTTTGTGGAATAGATGAAAAAAATAGTCATTGTTTAAAAAGAGGACATAAGTTATGGAAGTTGGTTGCCTAGGCTACTCAGAGATTGCATACTGGTTTAGAATAAAGAGGAGAAACAAAAAGAAAGACCTGTGGTCTGTGAAAGACCTTGAAAGTGAAATTTGTGTGTATGTATCCATCAATCTGCCTCGTAAGTCCAGGATGGTATATTTTGCAGAAGCATTCTGATGTGAGCAAGCAAGATTAGACTGGAGAACATTGCAGTAGTTAGTTTATGAAATGGGAACCTAGTCTAGATTTAGTTGGGCAGAGTAAAGGTAGTTAGAATAGTGAAGATAGGCTCACTAGAGATACTTCTCACCACTTTTCCAAGGGATACCATAGCACTGAAGCAGTCTGAGAATAAAATGGTCAAGATCTGTCCTCCTTTGAAACTGGCTGGATGTGGGTATGGCTGATTTAGTATGTGATTCTTGTAACCCCCTTTTTAAAGTGACAATAATAATAGACATAGTGAATTTTCTGTGTTTTATCATTATGGAGTTCTTGGTAATAACAGTTGATGCTCACAGATGCTTTATGATGTGTAGTTTCCTTTTATAAAGTGCATAGGGAAGRAGATCGATTGTCTTGGGCATGCTGGGGCTACGCCACATGAGACGCTGCACAGGGATGTAGAAAGAAATGGGCTCTATCTTTTGTAAGCCACTGGTGTTGGTCTGTAGCAGCACACRAGCTCCAGTTTTTCAGCACAATGAGAATAAACTTAAGTAAGATTTTGAGAAACAAATGTGAATGTGAGCTAAAGAACAGTACCTTCTTTTTGAATAATACATCTTTYTCTCTACTACAGGAAAAAATGGAAATGACAGGAACATTCAAACAGCAAAAATTTCAACTTGTGGATGAAGGTTTTAATCCATCTACAATTACCGATCCTCTTTATTTTTTAGATCATTCTAAGAAAGCATATGTCTTCTTAACCAAAGAATTATATGAGACGATCTTATCTGGAAAAATGAAGCTTTGATTGACCAAATAATAGGTTATTAAGGGACAGTCTATACAAGCTATTGTATGAGAAAACAATCAAATTCATGACCAGTATTTATACATAGTTATCCAGAAAAAAATGGTTTTGTGTTTGAATAATCTTTTTTTACATTCAGATTATGTCTGACATCTTTACTCACTTGAGCTTTATTTTTTTTYGCTTTTTACCTCGAGACAAATTTCTAAGCAAATAACCTGTGAAACATAACTGAAATTTATTTTCTGTTTACTTCGGAATATAAATGCTGAATCTGATACTTTTCCTTAGTAGTAAATAAACATAAATGATACATAGTATGATACCTGGTGAAAAAAAGCATCAGCATGTAAAGATACTGTTTCACATGCTGTGTCTAAACAGAAAAAATGTATTTTTCTGTACTTTACATACTTCTGAGTATGTATAGTAAGAAGTAAAGACTTGAGAGTGGTTGAAAGGAAAAACAACTTTTCTGCAGAGGTCTTTTCTGATGAAACATAAAAGAAACTGAAGCAGAAGAAAGTCCTCCAAACAAACCCAAATTGTAACATCACTGTTTAGATTTTCTTTTTCTTAATCTGTGTTCTTTCGTTTGTTAAGCTGGCTGTTTAGAGTGTCAAATTCTGAAGACAAAGTGAAACTTTGTGAAATGTTTCACAGCAGATCAACAACAGGCAAAGAAGRTCTGCACACTTAATGGGGAAAATAATTTACATAGAATTATTGCAGCACTTTATGTCATGTATATTGACTAACAAATAGCTTCCACACTCTTATTGATTGCTAGAGATCATTATTTTATGAGTACAGAATACAGCAAATTTTTAAAACACTAAATTTTATGTTCTAATAATTGCATTTTCTAAGTTATAAAATAAAGTATAAGATTATTTTAACCAAATACCATACTGTCTCAGTTTGATTTAAGTCTGATAGCAAAAAGTCAGTTTTCCAGTCACTTTTGATACTTTATTGCACAGTGCCCTCTTCCAGTGGATTCTCTCTGATGCTGGGCATCATGTCTCTCTTCCATCATGACAGTGATATGAAACTAGGTTCTCATAAGAGTAGGATGTAACATATTAAAAAATAACTATGCTTTGTTGTATCTTCCTGCTTTTTTTTCATCTAACAATACACTAGAAACTATATCAATTCTTGAATMTTTGATTATCACTTTCACTGATTTTCATTAAAATGAAATGAAAGCCAAGCCAAGGATGCAATGAAAAATATATGAGAATCATAGCTTACTTACATGTTTGAACGCAGTATTCTTTATGGGACTACCATTATAAATAAACCCTGAAATCCACATGTATTAACAGTGGATTAACAGTATCATGTTTAATATTGTAGTAGAATACTGAAGAATTTAGTGAAATCAGTTGGTTCACTTCTAAAATTTATTTTGCTCTATTTGATATTATATATGACTAGTGAAAAGGTTCTACCACTCAAATTCCACAGAAATGAGAGGGAAAAAATACATGAAAAAAGAAGAAAACTTTAGGAAAGTTTTTCCATTACGAAAAATAGATAGAAACAAAAACTTGTTCATGAGTGTCACCAATTGGTCACTTATTCTGTTCAGTATCCCAGATGAAGTAGATTGTTTCTGTGAAGAGTGGCTGGGTTAGAGGAAGAACAAGGTATCTGTGCTACCTTTCATAGTCTGTCCTCTACAGGACCAGCCAATTGGTGTTTCCAAGCTCCTGGGTACATTTCCTGGAGCAGTGGGACTCTGTTATAATGGAGCTACCCTGGGAGCCTATAAGTGTTTATTTCCCACTACTTCACTGTTTTACTTAGTGTAACCAAGGCAATCTGCCTGTTTTAAAGGTGAATAAAATAGTTCTGTTCCRTAGACTATCCCAAGAAATAGGATGCCTATGACATCAAGAAAACAATAAAGCAAAAATGTACAGAACCATAGGCTCTGTATTTCCTCAGGGGAAGACTGAATATATTACCCTTACTCCAGTAGTTTTTTTTTTTTTTCTTTTAGCCAGTAGGTTGGGTGCCAGCTGATTGCTGAAACATGTTGCAGCAAAATGTTATATTCCTCATGGATACCAAACTTCCTGAACCAGCATTGCAGTTAGGATGAGTAATGATGGTGGTCATGTCAAACACCACAAAGGGTCTTCCTTTGAGAATTAGATAATATTAGGACTGACCTGTTCATTTTCTATCCTCACCAAGACGAACATTTGGACTGGCTGACTCTGAGGGCTGGAGTGTTGCTGCAAAATGATGCCCAAGTGTTTGTCAGGGAAACTTAAATTCATCTAGCAAGGAGTAAAGAAGCAGAGAGTGGTGGCTGGGGTGTGGATGGAAAGCTGCACTGCTAACCTCATATATTAAAAATAAAAGTGAGAGATTAAAATTAATGAAGGTAATTATTTTTTAGATTTAGCATGTGTATTTAAAAGTTTCCCTCTGCATTTAAAGAAGATCAGCGATGAAGGAAATGTTTATTAAAAAAAGAAAAGAGGTTGGAGTTATTGTTTAGAAAAGGTAAAATTGTGAAAAGTTAAACACATATCCACTCCCTTGTCCTAGTGAATCTGGTGCAGTTAGTTCAGTTATAGTCTGGGTTACTTTTCATAAATCTTTCCCAGGATCCCCAGAAAACAGTAAAAAAATATAAGAGATCATGGCCTGAATTTTATTCTGCTCACCCAAGACAAATTAATAGAGCTTTTAAAGAGAATTCTCTTACCTATAAACAGTAAAGAACGTTATTTCAACTGATGTACAAATTTCCTGCAGAAAACATCTTCTACTGTTGATTTTTCACTTTTTCTTCTTTTCTGAGGAAAAGAAAGAGGTAAAGGGAGGAGAAGCAGTCTTTCCTGCACTTTTTAAATCTAAAAATACTGGATGACTATGGGAGAAAAGCCATAAAAGTTACTCTTCTTAAAAGAAAAAAGAATTCATTTTCAGTAGCATATCTCCAGCTAACAATGCAACTAGTAATTTGATGTGCATTATCACAGCAGAAATGACACATACCAGTGTGTATGGAACTTATTAAGTCAAGACAAATTTCAAGCAAATAATGTGGTTTTGTTTAATACTTACTATCACAAAAATAAGATGCAAAGATTCAGCAGACAGCCAAAGTTGCACATGAGTAGCAGCAATTTTAGGAATCATTTTAATGTGATGTGTATTATTAGCAGTGCTGTCACTAACTGACAGCATAATGTGACAGTTAATTTGTCTGTAAAAGTAAAATCAGATAATCTGATTGCATCCTGATACTCAGGACTTAATACCTTACACATTATCCTCTTAATTAGACAAATAGATTATATGATTTATGCCATGATAATTTAAAATAAACTGGGTCATTAGCAGAGTGAAATGGAATTCCTATGTCACTAACAAGTCCATAAATTTGAGAATCTTCTACTTAAATAGACTTCATTGAGTTTCCCCAAAGACTGCAATAAGCACAGCTCTAATCAAATAGTCAGGAATTTCTTTTGCAGAAGGAGATACCTTGACTGCTTTACATTTGGAGCCATTCTGCCACCATGAAGTTTGCATACATCCTGCATGAGACATGGGAGGTTTTATTTATGYCAGCTGGACCACTCACACACATTTATAAATAAAAAGGGCACTTAGACTGGCAGAAAACCACTTGTTATTGTGTCTCCTTTTCTTCAAATAATTGACACTGCTATGCTGACAAAAATAATGTTTCATACGAGTATGTATTGACAGTGTTACCAGTATAGGACTGTCCAAGTCTGAGAAGATGCTTTTTGAGGTGGTTCTGGGTTTAGAAATCAACTACATATCTCAGTTCACTTAAAAACAAGCAAATTAACCAACCAACCAACCAACCAACCAACCAACCAACCAACCAACCAACCAACCAACCAACCAACCAACCAACTAAACCCTTCCAAAATAAAACTCACACTGCAGCAAGTTAACACAGCAAATACAAAGGGGATTCAATTATTTGACATATATTTTGCAAGAAAGGAATCAATGCCTTTATTGGAATTCTAATATGAAAACAGTCCTGTTCATTCAGTGCAAACTGTTGAGGAGAGAGAAACAGAATTGTCAGTCTCTTACAGTGCTTATGCTACGCATTATGCATTTGGTTTTAAAATACTACCTAAAAATGTAGAGTTGATTCAAAACCCCACAACTGATTTAAACATATAATCATTTGCTGGATAGAATTATTTGCTTCTCTGTTTTTGCAGGGCTTTTGTGCATCATTGCTAACTATATGCAGCCAAAACATAGAGTAACAGGTGCTTCTATAAGATGGTGGATGACAGAGAAACTAACATCTAAAGTTTATTTGGAATTCAAGAAAAATCCTGTTAGAGTGATTACCATAATTTCCATTATTTTTTTCTATTTATTCTGCCTGTCTTGTTTTTTCTTTTCTCTTTGCTAATAACAAAACATACTTGGATTCCTATATTTTTTTTTTAATTGGTAATAGTAGGTGAGGAAGTTGCTGATGCTGCAACTAGTCATGTCCAATTAGAATTCTCCTGAATCCAATAATGTGCACTGACTTCAGTAGTCTGAGTGTAGTTTTATACTAGATTTGTGAAATGCTACTCAGAGTTTAAAACAATATTGGACTTGTCAAGTACTTGGTGTCATTGAAAGCACAGAAATTTAACATGCAGGTTTTACCAGGTAGCTACCTTTGAAAATCTGGAACATTACTTAATTTTTTTCTCCAAACACAGAATAAAATCACAGTACTTTTAAAATCMAGCTATGAGATCACTAAACACTTACCTAGCTACCCAAGGATTTCCGAACTTCTTTTTTCCAAAACAAACTTTTTTTTTCCTAGCTACTAGGCAGCTTACAGTACTTTKCTAAATATATCTGTCCTCTATTATATGCTAATAATTTTCTCCTGTGGGTGGGCTACACTTTAATCATAATACACTTGATCAATAGCACTCCTTTTATTTGTCCTTTTTTTGTTGGTTTTTTGTTTGGTTGGGGTTTTTTT